ACCTACCACCGGACCTTCCAATTTTTCGCGAAGACGCTGAACCCGAAATTCACGATCAGCCTTAGACAAAGTGGTGTAACGCAAGATGATTTGAGCGAAATCCACCGGGGATATGGATGGTAGTCCCATGGAGTAGCTGCGAAATTCCACCTCAAGCGCTTCGGTTTGGACATTGTGCATGAATCTATACAGCGAGACCAGAGTTGAATAACTACAGGAAACAATTACCGAATAAACTCCTGATAAGTTAACGGACAGTCCTGATTTTTACCGAACAGATGAGTCATCAATGTTGTATGAAATACTTCATTTGTTGGCAGTGTCTACGAGTAGGAAAAAATGATATGGTTATTTGGTTCGAGGGGGAGGCGGAGGTTAGCAACTGGCATTACCAAATCAGACGGGGCATTGTCTTTCGAAAGGCCACTGTCTACGGCTGCTTGAGCTATGACATGATTCAACTGGAGTGGATCAAAATAAAATGCACAAAGAAAAAGATCTACCTTTGCAAACTCGTGCGCATCTACTGATCCACTAAGATCCGTGTCTAGCATTTTGAATGCTATTTCAAATCCCGAATGAGGCTCTGTGTTGTAAAACGTGAGTTAAACTTGTAAAAAACACGTACTGGTTAGCACTTGCAAGAGAAACAAGTATTCCGAATAGGACAGGACACCTTCGTCTCGAATCTGGCGAAACAGATTGTTCGAAACCTTATTTTTGGGCGGTGTTTTTTTGAGAAATCCCTCCAATTCTCGTTCTCCTATTGGAATCAAACGATACTCTGGTCAGGGGAAAAAGGTGAAAGTGTATGCGTAAACAGAACATACGTGCAGGCACATCTCTGGTTAATGAATTGATGAAATCGGATGGGGTCATAAACAATACACCCTTATACTCAATCGATGCGAATTTCCGAAACCGTTTTTCGTGTCCTGGCATTGCAGATCGCTGCTACGAGCGGGGAATGTGTAGTTAGGGAGTGCACAATAAAACAAAAACTACCTTATTTGGTACTTCCGTGTTCCGAGGTGTCTTGAAAAACACATAACCACTGTA